TGCCCTCTTAGAATAAGACCGAAAGCCCCCCAACTGCTTTAGCTGGTTCGGAATCGCCTCCCTTGACTTGCAATCTTCTTGTTTTTCTGCACAATACTACTTTGGTTAATTTCCAAGACAAGTGGGCTGAAGGGACCACCCTTGTCTTAGGACAATGCACATTCATGTGGCTAGGAATGTGAGGGGTTAGAGTGATGAAGTAAAAGGTTCGAACAAAGGTCGAAGAGAGAAGAAAACTTGATCATGGGAGGAGACTAGCTTGATAGCCGAATAGTGACCAACTCGGAGGGGTAGCAGGACGGGCATGGTACTCAAGACCAGCACGACAACAATACTACTCGAAATCGAGGCCGATATGGTAGTGTTTGGCTAGGTCAACCCTCAATAACTTTCGAAGAGAAAATAATGAAAAGAAGGTACGAGACGGCAGAGAGATAGGGTCCTGACGGTGCTAGGCGTTGCCATCCACAACCATGGAGTAGCAGTTTCACGGCCCTTAGACGGCGCTAGACACTACTGCTCACGGCTCGAGTGGGAACAGGGAACTATGAACGACACTAGGCATTGCCGCTGGCGACACCAGAAGGCAGCGCGCCCTTGTGCGGGCGACGATAGCCTCTAATGAAGCCCACAACGATAGATCTCATGAGGCACAAAACGATAGGCATGGGACGCAGGAGGAATGGAGATGGGCACCGAACACACAAAGGAGGCTCGCGGACAGCTATGGGCACCGAGCACGCAAAGGAGGCTCGCGAACGGCGATAGGTACTGTGCACGCAAAGGAAACTCATGAACGGTGATAGGCACCGAGCACACAAAGGAAACTCATAGACGACAATAAGTATCACGCACTCAAAGGATGCTCGCGGACGGTGATAGGTATTGTTGAGACCTATCGTGATAGGCACGCAATAGCAAAAGACCCTTGCAGGCCGCAATGCGTTTCCCTATTTGTGCTCTTCATTGAGGCATCGAGGATACGTTTGTGGACGACGATGAGCAGCGCCGTCTGTGCACCTCACTAGGTAACAGAGATGGACGAACAGAAAGAGAAAGAGGCTCGCGCATGGTGCTACCCTCACCATGCGTGACCTTTGAGACAACAGGAGTGGCATGCAGGACACTGCCACTGTCGTGCATGGCCTCTGAGGGGAGCTCATACGGAGAAGAGGAAGAGGAAGAAGACGAAGAGAGAGAAGAAGAAAAGAAAAAAAAGAGAGAGATGATTTACCTTGAGCCTAGGGGTATCAATCTAATAGTGTCTCTCTCCTTACTCTCTCTCAACGTGACCCAATAATGAGAAGAAAGAGAAACTATATTATGTAAAAACTCTCTCTTTTGTGAAGAGTTCAAGCCTTTTTGCGTACAATGATGGTACGATATAAATAGAATTGTGCCCCAAACATGCTTGGATGATCAAAAGTAACTTGAATTGCTGGAAATTAAGATTAAAATGAATTAAAAGAAATTAGAAAATAGGGTACAAAATGACATATTTGCCCCTTCCTAACAACTTGTGGAATTCCAGAACAGTCCTTGTGTTGCCCTAGAACGTGCATGATTTTTCATGGATGATCCGGGGTCGTTTCGATCCTCGATTGATCGAGAGATGACTGTTTTCTTGTAGGGCTCGACATGGCGATCGATTTGATACTAATTTCGAGCCATGGATAGTGTTTTAGGACACGATCATGTGACTTGAAATTTGAATGAATCTTGAAACTTTGGATCAATTGCGTGCTCGTTCCTTGATGTTTTTATGTGATTTCTTTACTGGATAACACTGAGTATGCCCTCCCGATCATGGGGCAGCAAACGCAACTCAATTATATGCCCAGACGAAGGTTTTGTAAGTTTGGAGTTTTGGCCGAAATTTGGAATTTCGGCGATGGAATTTGCAATCATTTCATCGGCTTCGTGTGCGAAATCCGTCCTCCGTCCGTTCATCATACGCGAGGTTTGGACTAGTGCTAGCCACAGACCTTACGCACGCGATGAAACTGGTTTCACGTCGATCAGTCTCGCGAGTGGCGTCCTTTGGCTGCATGAGTGAGACACGACGCTACTGATTTTCCTGCACTTTTTCCATGGATCAGTGACTTCTCTCTAGCTTTCATTCGTGCTCAGGCTTCGTCACGAGACGTGCCACATATAGAAATGCTCGTCTTGATGAGACGAATATGCTCACAAAATTTGGGCTTGATCCAACCTCGGACGAGTGAGATATGAGCGTCAAAAGTCACTGGTTGTGACTATCCGTTTAACAATGTTGAGTTGCAGGGTGGCAGCACGAGAATAGCACGCGGCTCCTCTTGTTTTGCTCTTTCGCCAATAACGTTTTCTTGGGATGTCCGTTCAAGCTGAAATTTGACCCCTGGGGGTTTTCAACTGTACTAGATCTAATGGCAGTCATCCCACAACAAATTGAGACACTAAGAATATAAATCTAGGTATAGGGGTCCGTTTCAGGGTGCTAAAGGCTTATTCTGCCAGAACTGTTTCTCAGTCTGCACTACCTTAGACATGTCGGAATGGGACAAAACTTGGTGACTTTTGAGAGTCCTCATGAAGATCTTGACCAATTTTGGGGCTATTCTGAGACTGTTGGAATTTCTACTGTTTGCAAGGCTTTTATTGAGCGAGAGTCCCATGATGATGAAAAATATCTTCCAATAATGACCAATAAATTTCGGGACTCATATCTCCTTCATTACGAGTCGGGTAGTGCTCAAATTTTACGAGTGTGTTTGTCTCGTCAAGACGAGCGCTTTGATATACAGCACATCCTATGACGATGTCTGAGTAAGGAGAAAAACTAGAGAGAAGATGACATTTCGAGAACTAGAGTTGCAAAAAATCATCAGTAGCGCGTCTCACTCGAGTAGCCATATCACAACGCTTGCACACTCGATCGACACGAAACCAATTGCATTATGTGCGTAAGGTCCAAGGCTACCACTGTTCTAAACACTGTGCATGATGAACAATTAAATTTCATGTAAGGATCCCAATTCTCCTAAACATAAGAAGCTCACAACCATAGAGATAAGTGGAGGGAAGGACATGCACGACAAGGAGTGTGAGGCAATGTCATTTGAAAAGTAGGAGAGAGATAGAAGAACATCACCGCTTGTGTAGTAAGAGGTAGTGCCGGCTGTGGAGTGATGGGGTAACCCCGTGAGTAAACTGGTATCATCGCACACCAAGGGAAGCATCACCGCGAGCCTAAGAGGAATTACTGCAAATGTAGCACCATGAAGAGCATCGCCGTGTGGAGCATTGCCGTGTGGAGCATCGTCGTCTGAAGCATCATCGCTTGGGCTAACGCCACGCATGCAACGCGGAAGAGGTAACACCGTGTGTGTGGAGCTGTAACACCACAAGTGAATGAACTAGTTCTGTGAATGAAGAGAGGTCTAGCACTGTTTAGCGTATCGTCGTGTGCAAAGGAAGCTACTGCCACGTGTGGAAAAGAGGATTTGGCTATCAAGCCCTATTTGCCAATGCCACATCTCTTAGAGCCGTGCCTGACGACGCCACCCACTTGTCAGCTACAATGATTTCCACCTACCCGTGGGTACTTAAGCCCTTTCCCCATCCATTTGACTGTTGTTTTGCTTTTTCCACTTATGCTCTTCCTCTTTAGAAGCTCTAGTCAGAGCCATTTCCTGCTATCATTGGGAAGCCACTGTTGGAGCTTGGAGTGGCCCACGAAGTGCAAACACTTGGAGACACCGTGAACCATTTGTAAGTGGGTCTAGCTCCTCTACATCAGTAAATTATAGGGACTGTTTTAGAGTATGAATGGTGGGAGGGGTGGTGGTTAATTGATGGGAGGCATGCAAGTTTGAATGGGGTAGATGAGATGGGAAATACTAAATTCGTGCCCTCTCTGCCATGGTTGTCTGGGCAATGCAAGCGAACTTGTTTGCTGTAAATGATGTGTATTGTTAATCTCTACTATGACTAGTGTAAAATGAATATGGTCTTGCATCAAGATTTGCCTTGGGTTGTGTATTGTTAAGTGTTCTTTGAAGCATGCAAAACTTTAGGATGAGAATTTCTGTGACAGTTCTTGCATCGTGTTTTTCAATGACCAAACGATGTCCAAACGAGACCAAAATGGTTTTAAATGAAAGATATCCTTGTCTACTGTGATATGTGACTGATTGGCATGCTTTGAGCTTATTTGAAGACCATATTGTGATATGTTACTGATGGGCATGCTTTGAGCATATTGCATGACCATACTGTGGATTGGCATGCTTTGAGTATATTGCATGACCATAATGTGATATGTGACTGATTGGCACGCTTTGAGCGTATTACATGACCATACTGTGATATGTGACTGATTGCCATGCTTTGAGCATATTGTATGACCATAGTAGGATATGTGACTGATTGGCATGCTTTGAGCATATTGCATGACCATACTGTGATATATGACTGATTGACATGCGTTGAGCGTATTGAATGACCATACTGTGATATGTGAGTGATTTACCTACTTTGAGCGTATTGCATGACAACATTGTGATATGTGACTGATTGGCATGCTTTGAGCGTATTGCATGACAATACTATGATATGTGACTGATTGGCATGCTTTGAGCGTATTGCATGACCATACTATGATATGTGACTGATTGGCATGCGTTGAGCATATTGCATGACTATACAGTGATATGTGACTAATTGGTCTGCTTTGAGCGTATTGTAGGGGCTGCTTGTATGATTAAAACTAGTGAGGTACACGCTTTTTATGTATTGCATGACCGGATCTTGTGAATGCTATGAAATGAGAATATGCTTCCATGAAATTGAAATGCATGCTATGAAGCAATTTCAGTTATAGATGAATGAATGATACTGTGAAATGCATTACTGCTATGTTCTATGATGGTGTTCACTTAAAAAGGGTGTTCTGAACTTCCAATTCTTGCCGCATCTATTACTTTCGTCGGGAATGTGAATGTAATTAGTGCATTGACTAAATGAAGAATTTTGATACCCTCTTTGATGCTTGTGATTTATATATTGATGAGATTCCTGATTTATCTGGTATTAATATTTTGATAGATTCGTTATTGATGCTTAGTATCTAACTTACTTACTGAGCTGTAAATCTCATCCCGCTATTTTTTTACCATCTCTATAGAGCAAGAGTCACAGGTGGAAGGCGTGGTCTAGTGGAAGCTGTAGATGGTTCAGATTCGGAGAAGACGAAGATGCACTCCTCCATTGTATTGTTCTAGAGGGCAGTCTGGCCCTATTTTTTATTTATTATGGAATATATGTGTTAATGGGCCTTGATGCCCCAAACAGATTGTAATACTTTTGGGAGGAAATTTTTTATAGTGGATTTTAGTTTGAATGGAAATTCTATTATAGATTGCCTTTTGCTCTTTTGTATCATGGTTTTAAGTTCCTGACTATGGTTTGCTTTTTTTACCGCGTTGATAAAGCGATGAGCGCACTCCAACATGAGTGGCAATCGTGACATATGGTTCATGAACCCACAACCGGTCACCCTCCGTCGAGCATGGCAAGGGGGTCGGGTGTGGGCTTGTGACAGACATGGTATCAGAGCAGCCAAGATAGGATCTTTAGCCTAGGGAGTTTTAAGACTGTCCTTAAAGTGGTTTTAGGGTGGAGTAGTGATTGGGTGTCCTTGAAGATGCCGAGAGCTCGTGACTGCTATGCGAATTCCAGCAATTATAACACTGAGGCCCTCGACGAATTTTGTAGAACCTTCGAGACTGTGACCCAAATAATGAAAGAGTTGATGTCGGCCCTATCCACCCCTTCCCCATAATAGAATGTTAGTAATCTGGTAGATAAGTTTAAGAGGCTGACACCCCCCACTTTCTCAGGGTAGGGAGGAGCAGAAAAATCTGAGAGGTGGTTGATGAAAATCAAGAAGATTTTTGGAGTTTTACAATGCTCAAATGAGCAGAAGTTGAGACTGGGAACTTTTATGTTAGAAGGGGATGCCAAACATTGGTGGAGTATGGTCCAGCAAGCATGGGAAAGGGAAGAGATAATACCGACTTAGGACAGATTTTTAGAGGCCTTCAATGAAAAGTATTTCCCAGAGTCAGTAGAAGAGAGGAAGGAGGTTGAATTCATAGAATTACAGCAAGGGAATCTAACCGTCGATCAATATGCTACTAAATTTGCAGAGTCATCCCGATATGCATCGCATATTGTCAACACGGAGGTTAGGAAGGCGAGGAAGTTCGAGAGAGGTTTGCGGCCTGATATCCGAGGGAGAGTTTTGTCGGCCAACCTTAAGGCCTACACTCAGCTGGTAGATTTGGCCAAGAGGATGGAAAAGGATTGTGATGATTACCGAATGAGGAAAGAGAAACAAAGGACAGGACCTCCGCCCCCTGGGGATCCAAGAGAAAAGGAAAGTCGAAGGAATGGCAAGACTCAAAAAGCCTCCCAGGGTGATGTTAAGCAAAGCCAACTCGTACAGTGTACCTCTTGTAGGAAGCAGGGCCAAGTGGCTTCCAAGTGCCGGCTGAAGACAAAAGCATGTTACATTGTGGCAAGGCGGGTCACGATTGCCTGACATTGAGGAACGAGCCTAAACCAAAGACTCGGGGTTGGGTCTCTACAATTGATGGTGAAGGAGCTAAGACCTCAACTTCAGAGAGCTAGAAGTGTGTTTTGATTCTAATGTGAAATCTAGAATTTTGTTGGACTTTGTTTCCTCTCACTGTAATTGTAACACCATTTTTTGGCACATATAATAGAGTTTGGATCTTTATTGCCTGGCTATGCTTAAATTGTGTGTTATCGGTTGAAGATGCTTTTTGTGTGATGATTGTGTAGAACTTTGATTGGGGGTATGTCTTAGCCCATCTATTTGAGAACTAATGTGTGCCATGTAAATGTAGCGATAAATGTTCGATGTTATGATCTGTGTGGTCAATCTCGCGACAAGGACTATGTGATGAGTGAAACATGGTACGATTATAGCAAGTGCTAGGGCGTGATTTGTGCATGTTGCATGACCATAATTATTTCTAGAATGGTGCCTACTTTGAGTGTATTGTAGGGCTTGACTTTGTGATTTTTGGTGCACACTTTGAGCTTATTGCGTGGCCACGACTGATGTTTGTATAGGGTGCCTACTTTGAGTTTATTGTAGGGCCTGACTTTGTGATTTTGTGGTGCAAGCTTTGAGCGTATTGCGTGACCACGACTGATGTTTATATATGGTGCCTACTTTGAGTGTATTGTAGGGCTGGACTTTATGATTTTGTGGTGCACGCTTTGAGCGTATTGCATGACCACGACTGATGTTTGTAAAGGGTGCCTACTTTGAGTGTATTGTAGGGCCGGACTTTATGATTTTGTGGTGCATGCTTTGAGCGTATTGCATGATAGCGACTAATGTTTGTATAGGGTGCCTACTTTGAGTGTATTGTAGGGCCTGACTTTGTGATTTTGTGGTGCACGCTTTGAGCGTATTTTGTGACCATGACTAATGTTTGGAGGGTGCCTGTTTTGAGCGTATTGTGGGACCTGATATTGTGATTGTACTAATAGAAAGCCTGCCTTGAGCATATTGCAGGATATGATTTTCTGATTGTGTGACTTCATGATTCTGTGATTTTGATGTACTTTCTCTGAGCGTATTGCAGGGCTCGATTCTCGAGTTGAGATTTTGTGACTTTGTGGTGCCTGCTTGGGGTGTATCGCAGGACCCACTCTTTGATTTTGTGACTCTATGTTTCTATGGTACGTGCTCTAATGTACACTGCATGATTGATATTAATAAGATGTGTGATTTGAATGTATTGTATGATTGATACTTGTAAGATGCCACTTTGTGAATACTGTTGGACCCTAACTGGAGATTGATCCCAGCTGGAAGTTGCTGATCGGTTGTGATTGCTCACGGTTGAAAGACCTAATCTATATGTATTAGCCTGTTGGTGTTTACATGTTGAGATAGATATAATTTACGGATAAATGGTGCACACTTTGTGTATTGCTATGAAGTATCAAGTATAAGACTGTGATACTAGGGATAAGACTATAGATTGTTGTATAAGACAATGGTGCATGTGAGGATGCCTCTCCCCCGACTGTTGGATGTCATACATGTCATTTTGGGGTTAACGGGGGGATGATGTAAGGACCCCAATTCTCCTAAACGTAAGATGCTTGCAACCATAGAGATAAGTGAGGGAAGGACAAGCACCATAGGGAGTGTGAGGCAACGTCGTTTGGAAAGGAGGAGAGAGATAGAAAAACATCACCACCAGTGTAGTAAGAGGTAGCGCGAGCTTTGGAGTGATTGGTAACGCCGTGTGTAAATTGGTATCGCTGCGCACGAATGGAAGCATCACCCTGAGCGTAAGAGGCATTGCCGCGAGTGTAGCACCATGAGGAGCATTGCCATGTGTAGCATCGCTGTCTAATGCCGCGTGCATGGAGTTGTAACGCCGTGCTCGAATGGACCAGCGTTGTTCGTGAAGAGAGGCCTAGCACCGTTTGGCATATCCCCACATGCGAAGGAAGCAATCACCGTGCATGGAAAATAGGATTTGGCTGTCAGAGTCGTATCTTCCAACACCACTTCTGTCAGAGTCGTATCTGCCAACACCGCTTTTGTCAGAGCCGTGCCTGACGATGCCACCCACCTGTCAGCCGCAATGATTTCCACCCACCTATGGGTACTTAAACCCTTTCCCTTCCATATCATAGCCGTTTTGGTTTTTCCCCTTATGCTCTCTCTCTCTCTAGAAGCTCTAGTTAGAGCCCTGTGCCTGTTGGGAAGCCACTGTTGAAGCTTGGAGTGGCCTGCGAAGTGCGAAGACTTTGAGACACCGTGAACCATTGGTAAGTGGGTCTAGCTCCTCTGCATCAGTAAATTATAAGGACTGTTTTAGAGTATGAATGGTGGGGAGGGGGGGGGGGGGGAGTGGATGGTGGTTAAATGATGGGAGGAGGCATACAAGTTTGAATGGGGTAGATGAGATGGGAAATACTAAATTTGTGCCCTCTATGCCATGGTTGTCTGGGCAATGCAAGCGAACTTGTTAGCTGTAAATGATGTGTATTGTTAATCTCTACTATGACTAGTGTAAAATGAATATGGTCTTGCATCAAGATTTGCCTTTGGTTGTGTATTGCTAAGTGTTCTTTATAGCAAGCAAAACTTTAGGATGAGAATTTCTGTGACAGTTCTTGCATCATGTTTTTCGGTGACCAAACGATGTCCAAACGAGACCAAATTGGTTTTAAATGAAAGATATCCTTGTTTACTGTGATATGTGACTGATTGACATGCTTTGAGCTTATTTGATGACCATACTGTGATATATTACTGATGGACATGCTTTGAGCGTATTGCATGACCATACTGTGGATTGGCATGCTTTGAGTATATTGCATGACCATAATGTGATATGTGACTGATTGGCATGCTTTGAGGGCATTGCATGACCATACTGTGATATGTGATTGGTTGTCATGCTTTGAGCATATTGCATGACCATAGTATGATATGTGACTGATTGGCATGCTTTGAACGTATTGCTTGACCATACTGTGATATATGATTGATTTGCATGCTTTGAGCGTATTGAATGACCATACTGTGATATGTGATTGATTTACATGCTTTGAGCGTATTGCATGACCACACTATGATATGTGACTGATTGGCATGCTTTGAGCGTATTGCATGACAATACTATGATATGTGACTGATTGGCATGCTTTGAGCATATTGCATGACCATACTGTGATATGTGACTGATTGGCATGCTTTGAGAGTATTGCATGACCATACTGTGATATGTGATTGATTGACATGCTCTGAGAGTATTGCATGACCATACTGTGATATGTGACTGATTGGCTTGCTTTGAGAATATTGTAGGGCCTGCATGTGTGATTAAGACCAGTGAGGTACATGCATTGTTTGTATTGCATGACCGAAACTTTTGAATGCTATGAAATGAGAATATGCTTCCATAAAATTGAAATGCATGCTGTGAAACATGTTCAACTATAGATGAATGAATGATATTGCGAAATGCATGACTGCTATGTTCTATGATGGTATTTGCCTAAAAAGGGTGTTTTGAACTTCCAATTCTTGTGACATCTATTAGCTGTGTCGGGAATGTGAATGTAATTAGTGCATGGACTAAATGAAGAATTCTGATACCTGCTTTGATGCTTGTGATTTATATACTGATGAGATTCCTGATTTATCTTATATCCTTATTGTGATAGATTCGTTATGGTACTTAGGATCTAGACTTACTTACTAGGCTGTAAAGCTCATCCCGTTATTTTTTTACCATCTCTATAGAGCAAGAGTCACAGGTGGAAGGTGTGGTCTAGTGGAAGCTGTAGATGGTTGAGATTCAGAGTAGGCGAAGATATCGTCCTCCATTGTATTGTTCTAAAGAGTAGTCAGGACCTAGTTTTTATTTATTGTGGAATTTTTTTGTTAATTGGCCTTGATGCGCCAAATAGATTGTTCTACTTTTGGGATTATATAGTGGATTTTAGTTTGAATGGGAATTCTATTTCTAGATGTTATTTTGCTCTTTGTACCATAGTTTTAAGTTCATTGCCGTGGTCTACTTTGTTTACCGCGTTGATAAAGTGATGAGCGCACTTAGACCTGAGTGGCAATCGTGATATATGGTTCATGAACCTGCAATCAGTCACCCTTCGTTGAGCATGGCAAGGGGGTCGAGCGTGGGGTCATCACATTTCACGTACGACCATTTTAAAGTTGTTGTAGAATTTCACGTACGATGGAATCTAAATTTCGGTAAAAAATCCAAAATTGTAAAATCTTCGTTTGAACACGAAATCGAGCTTCGTTTGTTGCAATGCAATCGTGAAGGCATGCTCAGTGCAAGTCAGTGAAGAAACCAAGGAAATACATCAAGAAATGAGCGCTCTATCGATCGAAAGTTTTCAAGTTTCGTACATATTTCAAGTTGCATGGTCATGGCTTAAATGAGTAATCCATGACTCGATGTCAGTATCAAATTGATCATCATGCTGAGCCCAACGAGAAAGTAATCATTTTTTGGCCATGCAGGCACCGGAGAAACCCCGAATCATCCTAAGAAAATCGAACATGTTCCATGATTACAACAGGGACTGTTTTGAAATTTTTTGTATTATTGAGCAAGGGAAAAATCGTAATTTTACACCTATTTTTTTTTTTTATTTTAATTCAAATAAATTGTATTTTTAACAATTAGGGTAATTTATTGGCCTCCACTCATGTTTTGGGCCCAACTCTATAATTACATGTTTTGACTCATTATAAAAGACCTTCAACTGGATGAATAAAATTTAGATTTTACATTGAGATTGTGGGCACGTATTGGAGAAAGAGAGAAAGGAGAGAGAAGAAAGAGCCCGATACCCTAGGTAGTTTTCTCTCCTCTTTTCTCTCTCCTCTTCTCTTCTTTCTATCTCTCTCTTCTTTCTTTCTCTCTCTTCTCTCTTTCTCTTCTTCTTCTCTCTTTCTTTCTCTTCTTCTTGTCTTCTTCTCTCTATCTCTCTTCTACCATTTTTCCC